CTGATTCTATTGAAGATAAAGAAAATGAACAAACAACATCATCAGCTATCAATATTGGAACTCAAGTTTGATTTTTTTTTTTTTTTGAACGAATTAATTTTTATTTGCAACTTTTAAAATTTACATTTTATTACACTTTTCTCATCATCATTATAATTAATATATATTTAACTGTTATTATTGATTATTTGTATGTTTGATTGCTACATTATCAATGTTAATTAAAAGTCAAATCATTAATGGGTAAATCAATTAAAGGTAAATCAATTAAAACAAAACAAAATTTCAGATGGTTATACCACAAGCTTTGCTAGATAGTTTCGTACATATGGCTTCACGGTGTAATAATACAGATAGTGAAATAAATCAGCAATGTGCTCATAATTTCCCCGCTGTTGCTTTTACTCTTGGTCGTAATAATTGGCCATGTATTATGGGTACTTATAAACAGTTATCAACAGATATGGAAGTAATTTCTTTTTTTTTTTTGTAATTTTATCTCAAAGTTTTTTTTCCATCAAAATTATATATTTAAGTTGAAAGTAATATATTTCATGCTCTATTTCAAGATTTCATTATAAAATTATAATTTTGAATAAATATATTTGTCATATACAGGTCAAATTTTTTCCTTTTTTTTTAGAGTTTTAAGGTCTATTAATTATTTTTTAAAATGGTTTCTTTTTTGCTTTGAGTGTAGAGAAGAACTAATTCATTTGTTGTTATAAAAAAAAAAAAGAAAAAAATGTATATAAAAAATAAATTTTCAGATTCTTTTTTTTTTTTTGATAATTTTTAAGTTTAGTGACTTAAATGTTTATTGTTCTTTATCAAATAATGCTAATAATCATTTAAAAAGGAAAATAAATTTTTTTAGTTGTTAAATATATTAACAGTAAAGTAACGCCATATTTACATTTTTATTTTTAATTTACAAATTGTTTTAGCGGCGTGTTCGGTATACGTTAGCAACATCAATTCACGAAATTGCAGCAATTATTGGGGAAGAAAATGCAGGTATTCATTTGGTACCCATATTTGAACGATTTGTGGACGATGTGGAAGATGTGAAAATTGGATTATTAAATCATTTGTATGATTTTTTTAAAGTAAGTTTATGATTGTTAGAAATTTTTGTGCATATTAGGGATTCAATAGTTAACTGGAACTAGGTTAACAAGTAAAATGTTTGGAAAGTGTCAATGTCTTGATTAATTTAATCAGTTAATTAATTAAGTAGTTAAATTTAGTTATTCGTTGTTCATATTAATCGCTTATTTAAATATTATTCTCATATTGAACACACAAAAAAAAAAATAGATATTTATCTTATTTCAGTTAGTAACACCTGATGCAAGGCAAAAGTTGTTATCAGTATTACCAAATTTTTTACATTCCGATGCTGATAATGGACGTAATTGGAGGTACAGATATAAATACGTTAGGTAAATCCGTTTAAATTCTTTTATTGAAATAATCCTAATAATTCTAGTAATACCTTTCCTTACTTTTCTAGATAACTCTATTGCTTCGTTAAAGTTAATTTTTACTTTTTTTTTCCTTTTTTTTTCTATGAATTTTTTTAAAAATTTTTGAAATCAGTATATCTTCCAGACAATGTATTCTTCTATGTGATCTCTTTGCTGTGCATGACATTAATGAATATTTGGCTGCTATAGCTTTAACCTTAGCTAATGGTTAGTTTTTAATTTTTATAAAAAAAAACAAATGAGAAATTGATAGTTAAACAAAATTGCTAATTTGTAGATTTTTCCTTCATTGTTTAACTTTAATAATCACTTCATATATTAATATTATTTAAAAGAGGAAAAAATGAAAGGAAAGAGAAAGAATTATTACCTAATTTATTAAAATGATTATTTGTCACATTTTTTTAGATAGGATATCAGATGTACGTAAAGAGGCAACTATATTATTAGCAAAAATATTGGGAAAATTTGTTAATGAAGAATGGATTTCGGATTATACTAACTCCTATCGAACTAATATGTCAACTACTGATTCATTTATTAGTGATATTGTGAAGGGATTTGCTCGATCAATGAATTGGCGACGAAGGCAAACGTAAGTTATTCATTTGTTTTGTTTTGTTTTGTTTTTTCGATTACTTTCCATTTCATGTTTGATCTCCTCTTTACATCATATAAATAAAATCCATGGGAGAAAGAAGAAAAATCGAGTAAAATATTTGAAATTATTTTTAGATTTGCTGTATTTTGTGAAAAAATTCTGGAAAATGAAATATTAAACTACAATCAATTTTCATTATTGCTATTAAATGATTTAATGAGGCTAGCAGGAGATTGTAAGTTTATTTTTAACAATATATTCAATTGTTCTTATTTTATTTTTTCATTTATTTATGCAGGAAAACGAATTGTACAGTTTCTGATGTTAAATTTGAAATTTATTATTACGAGAAATCAAATTTCAAATGGAGAATTTTCTAAATGATTTTAAAATGAATACAGGATTAAAATTTTTAGCAGTAGCAAATGTACGCTTAGCATTCGTACGGTCTCTATCAAAAACACGTGGTGGTTACGCTTTTCATGGCTCATGTGACTCATCAATTGTACGTCATAGTCTTGAAACGTTACTTTCCGACAGAGATGTGGACTGTAGACGAGCTGCTCGAATTTCACTTGGAATTCCGGATACTGAAAATGCAGTTAATGTAAGTTTTTAATTTCTTGTAAATCTTTTTTTTTTTTTATTATTTAAATAATTATCGTCACGTTATTGTAGTTTTTTTTGCATTTAATTTAGAGGAATTTACATTTTAAAACACTTCAGATTGTTTCTAATAATAGTCCTAGTAATTATATTGAAAATAAAATTTATGATATAATTTATGTTTTCATCTTTAGTCTTACAAAATTACCTTGAATTTCATTTTCTCATCTATTCATTTTTTTTTTCAGGTGAAAAATTACGCTCAACGATTACGTGAAATGAAAGAAATTATTTCAGCTAAATATCATATCAACTAATTTATATCTTCTGATGATAAAATGATCATGAAAAATAGTTTAAAAATAAAAATGGAAGAAAAAAAAGAAGCGATTGTAGTGAATTTCATTTTGTAGTGCCTCATTTTTTTTTTCAAAAATTTATAATTTTTTAAGTTTCTATTAAAAATATTGCATTAGAAAAAGTTCTGCATAGGAGATATTCTTTTCAATTAATATAATTTGCTCTTTTTGTTTTTCCTAATAACATATTTAAATCCGATAAAAATTCATACTTATTAATGTGTATTGTTATGAATAATTTTCTCATATATAATAGGAAAAGAATTATTTTTATACATTTCATTTTTATTTCGTGTATAATTTTGATCTTAATTTGCATATGGCACAGCGATATATGAATTAATAAAATATATTTGTCACTGTAAATTGTATAAATTTCGGTGGGAAGAAAAAAAAAAACGAAAGAAAGAAAAGATTACATTCAATTGATATGTAAAAATAAAATTTTTTTATTTAAAAATTCCTTTAAAAATAAAATAAATTATATCTATCATTTTTCAATTTAAAACTCAGGTATATCAATTTATAATGCATACAAATTTTAGTATAAATTTTAATATTTACAATCAAAAAAAAAAAGGATCCAATGAGAAATCATTTATAAAAATGTATTTCTTTAAAAAAAAAAAAATTTTTTTTCAAATATTTTATAATTATTCATTCAAATATTTAATGTCTTTCATTTGAAATTCATAAGTTTTTGCTGTTGCATTTTGTTTGTTTTCCTCATTCTCTCAAATTTCTTCACGTGTTTTTCTTTTTTTTTTCTTTTCAAACTTTTAAGTGTTAATTTTTTTGATTTGCTCATAATTTAATTGTTCATTTTGTCTTTTTTTTTTTTTTAAAAAAAGGGCAAAAAGAAAGTTACATTTGAGATTATTTCATTGTCGATTCTTTCTTAATACGAATAACAGTAATAAAAATAATAATACTTTATTAAGTAAATGAGAGAGTAATTCTACGTGTATGAACGTGTACGTACATTTGTAACAATGCTTATTATTTAATTTAGTGATTATTTTGCATTCATTGAATGTTTATGAATGAAAATTTCCATTCTACCTGAAATTTTTTAAAAAATTTATTTCTTTATTCAATATTTTACCAGTTTTTCGATATTCATTGATTCAATTACTACGTATTTCTTTCTTTTTCTTTTTTTGAAATAAAATTTCATTACCAATAAAAAATATATTTCTAGATTATTTTTACTTGTTTTTCACGTAACTTTTACTCATATTTCACGTTTTTTTTTTTTTTTACAAAAATATCTTTTTGCATAAAATGTATAGTTTGCTACTTCAACTACTATCATTAAAAAAAAAAAAAAGAAAATTATCTATTCTCTATTCTTTTCTTCAATTTATCTATGAACTAAAAATGCTAAATACATTTAAAAAAACTGGTAATAATAAATTAATTGTTTCTTCAATTTTTAATAATTTAATTCCAAAAATATCCCTTCGCTTAAGTTGCTTATTTATTTTTTTAATTTTTTTGCAAATTAGTTGAGATAGAAGCTTATCAATTATAAGTATGAATTTTCCCTTTATTTCTTCATTTTATTAATTTTTAAATAGAATTTGTCTTTTTTTTCAAGTTGCTAAAGTGTTTATTTTCATTCAATAAAAAAAAAAAATTATCAAATATGAAATGAATGTAATTAATATAATAGTCGATATAACTTGATAAGGCATCCAATGATATTTGACACAATATACATCCTATCGAATTAGTTAATGTCGAATATATCTGTAAAATTAATAAATCAATTTCACATTCTAGCAAAATTCATTTTCTTAAAAAAAAAGAAGCTAAAATTTAAAATAATCATTAACCTATTATTAAGTAAATAAAAACCTTATCATAATCAATATTATCAATAACTAATAAGATGATAAGAAAAAAGAAATTAATATATGCATATGTTTGTTTAATTTAAACTTACTTTGCTGTCCAATCAATTCGTCCGGATGGTTTTGTGCTTGTATTATTAATATTATTGAATGGATTTTTTCGAACACCAAATGATGGAACATATCCTTTAAATGAATTTAAATAAAATCTTTTATTAAAATTCATTAATAGCTAAGTTTATATTCTTTTGAAGAAGACATTTCATTATGATAAGAATTATGTAATTTATTTATTTTGTTAATTGTTAATTTACTCATTTGTTATTTATTTGATAATTAAATATCTTTTTCGTTCAATTTATGAATTTAAATTATCATTTGAAATTTTTAAATTTATTTCTTGAAAAAAAAGAAAAGAAAGGAAAGTTTACCAACCATAAGCATATTCAAAACGAGCCTGTACTGCTGATCGTGCTGGATTTGGCTTTAAATTTGATCGTTTCATTGGCTCACTGTTATTTTGTTGATTTATCTGATTTATTGTAATACCTAAGAATAAATGAAATGTTTAAATATTTTTTAAATATTTAAAAAAATTTTTGAATTAATCAAAAAAAAAAAAAAAGAAATAACAAATGAAAAAATGAATGATTTTAGTTAAATTAACAAGCGAATAATTCTCTATTTAATCTAAAAACTTTAAATTATTTTTTATTTATCTTGCATAAGATAATCTAATATTCATTAAAAGCAAGCCAACAATAGAAATTGAATTAACAAAATAAACATTTTAATTAATTTAAAATAAATTTTTTATTTATCTTGTAAAAGATAAGTTAATAAACATTAAAAATAAAACAAGCTAATAGCATCAATTGAATTAATAAACAAACAATGTTAATTAATTTAAAATAATTATTTTTAAATTAATTTTTTAATTTATTTTGTAAAACAAAAAAAAGCATAAACCAGGCATATATCTTGATTTTGACATATATAATTCTTTAGCAGGTAATTTAGCTTTCATAACAATGGTACCAGCAATTGTATGACTATTCTTATCCAATAATGTATCATCTTTTGATGGTTGTTCATCTAATAATCTAAAAAAAAAAAATTTATTTTCTAATTTAATTAATATTAATAAAATATAATAAATGTATTAATAATTTAAATATTTTCCTTTTAAAAAAAGTTTTAATTAGGAATAATTAATTATTTTAAATTATTACTATTATTATTATTATTACTTACTTTACAATTGGTAAATTCCTATTAATATTTCGTTCAGCATTTATATTTTTTCCCATATCAATTTTTGTCTCCGAAATATTATTATTCGTTTTTAATTTTGTTTTACCAATTAAAATATATGAATCAGATAATGTTGAATTGGCACTTGTTTCACGATTTGATGTCGTTGGTTGACTTATTGCTTGTGCACCTAATTTTTCACCAACCAAAAAATATTTGTATTTTAATGACTGAAAATAAAAATTAGAAAAGGAAAAAAAAACTTAACATTAATAATGTATTTTATTTATTTATTTTTGTGCATCCAAATTTATTTATATTATTTGTCACAATTATAATTTAATATTTTAATGACTTTTTTTTTTTAAATTCCTTTTTTTGTTAAAAAAAACACTAACACCAATAGCACTAGGACGTTTTTCCGGATTCCAAAGCATCATATCGGTCATTAATTGAAGACCATCGTCACCCACAGAATTTACAATTGTTGCAAACGGTATTGGCACACATTGTTGAAATTTAAAATTCATTGCTACAGCTAATTGATAACCTTCAGGCCAATCATCCTATAATTAAAAAGTTATCATTGTGAAATTTACATTTCATATATTATTTTAAAAAAAAAGAAATCATTTTTTTTTTCTTTTTAAAACACAATATTTAAATATAATATATCAATGATGCAAAGAAAAATTATAAATGAATAATTCATTTTCTTTTTTTTTGAATATATAATTCATTGTATTAAGTATTTAAATATGTAATACATTTTATTTCTATATTCATTATATTAAGTACGAGTATTTCAATTAAGAATATTAATTTAGAGCAATTTTTTTCTGAAAGTTAAGTTAAATTTTTCTTTTTCTAAAATCAAAGATTATTTCAAAATTTTTTATATTTGAAAAGAGAACAATAATAAACTTTACATATTCGTGAAAATCTCACTTTTCGTTTTTTTTTTACATTCTTAATTAATTAGTATTTTTAACATTTTAATCATTACAATAAATTTTTAATTAATAAAATGTCACAATTTTATAATAAATAGAATTTAAACTATAAATTAATTAACGTTAACAAAAACCTTATTAGGTGTTCCTAATATTGTAATAATTTTAAAAAGTTGATCCAATTCTGAAGTACCAGGAAATAATGGCCTAAGCATATATAATTCAGCCATAATGCAGCCAAGAGCCCAGATATCGATTGGTGAATTATATGATGTGGAACGTAAAAGAATTTCTGGAGCTCGATACCTGGAATTAGTTAAGGTAACTATTCATATTAATTAATTAATTAATTAATGCTATTTTAACAAATTTCATTTTTAAAAGATTTCAAAACTTTTCTTTAAGTACCACTCATCTTATTAAATTATCAACATTTACATGTCCTCATTTGTAAAATTTATTTTACTTATTTTAATTATTATTTACAATTATTTAATTACAAATATATTTTAATTATTCAAATCGTCCATTATCATCTGCAGATTCGTTTTAATAATAATCAGTTTATCAAAAATTCATACAAGCATTCACCTAGTGATTCTGAGTAGACAATATTTCATATCATATCACTATTATCACTTCAGATAACCAATAACTATCCTTCCTATCATATCATAAAACCACCTTATAATCATTTGTTTATCACACACAGACATACATTTAATAAATTCTTTGCAAATCTCAGAAAAATCTATTTTCACTTGTTTTATTAAAATTTCACTCTAATAATGTGATGGAAAAAGCAATTTGAACAATTTCAATAAATTCATTAATAACATAAAATTAAATTGCAAAAAAAAAAACAAATTGAAAATTTTTTAAAATTTTAAAATAGTTTAAAATGAACAAATGAATAGCAAATAAACAGAAATAAAAATAAAAAAATTATACCAACGAGTGGAAACATAATCAGTAAATGGTGGCCTTGAACGGATTTCACGTGCTAAGCCAAAATCAGCAATTTTAACAAGTTCGGTACCATTACACATAATATTTTCCGGTTTCATGTCACGATGGAAGAAACCTAATTCAAAAAGAGGCGTAAAATTTTTAAATAAATTCATTTATTTATTTCATTAATGAAATGTTATGATAATTATAAATAATTTATGTTATCTTATGTTCTTTAACAAATCATTTTCTGATTTTTATAAACATTAAAAAAATGCGGAAAAAGGTTTTTTTTTAAAGTAAATTTAATTAAATAATTCGTGAAGATTAAATTTTTGTGTTTTAATTAATTAAATTCTTCAAATAAAAGGTGTTTCTACTTGTTCTTCTTCATTTTTTCATTACATTTTCAATTTCAACCTTGACAAATTTTTAAATAATAATAATAATGATGATAATAATAACAATAATAATAATAATAATAACAATAATAGATAATGACTATAATTAATACTATTAACGAGTTAACTAACCATTTTTATGCATATAAGCTAAACCTTGTAATACTTGATAAATTATATTCCGTATAATATGTTCTGGAAAATATCGATCCCTGAAAGTTTTAATAAAATAAACTGTAAATTTGATTTTTTATTTTTTTCATTAAAATTTTCGTATTTAATTCCATTTGTTTTTTTTTTCAAACAATTTCCTCATTCTTTTTAATTTTTTTTAAAAAAAATTTAACCATACAAATATTTTCTTATGGAACGAGTTAGTACCAATTGATGCCAAGGAAATAGTAATTTTACTTTAAATTACCATTCATCCGTATGGTATTCCTATACAGTTCCGTCCGTACCTTATCGAATCTTTCACTTTCCGTCCGCACCTTATCGAATCTTTCACTTTCCGTCCGTACCTTATCGAATCTTTCACTTTCCGTCCGTACCTTATCGAATCTTTCACTTTCCGTCCGTACCTTATCAAATCTTTCACTTTCCGTCCGTACCTTATCGAATCTTTCACTTTCCGTCCGTACCTTATCAAATCTTTCACTTTCCGTCCGTACCTTATCGAATCTTTCACTTTCCGTCCGTACCTTATCGAATCTTTCACTTTCCGTCCGTACCTTATCGAATCTTTCACTTTCCGTCCGTACCTTATCGAATCTTTCACTTTCCGTCCGTACCTTATCGAATCTTTCACTTTCCGTCCGTACCTTATCGAATCTTTCACTTTCGGTCCGTACCTTATCGAATCTTTCATTTTCCGTCCGTACCTTATCAAATCTTTCACTTTCCGTCCGTACCTTATCGAATCTTTCACTTTCCGTCCGTACCTTATCGAATCTTTCACTTTCCGTCCGTACCTTATCGAATCTTTCACTTTCCGTCCGTACCTTATCGAATCTTTCACTTTCCGTCCGTACCTTATCGAATCTTTCATTTTCCGTCCGTACCTTATCAAATCTTTCATTTTCCATCCGTACCTTATCAAATCTTTCACTTTCCGTCCGTACCTTATCGAATCTTTCATTTTCCGTCCGTACCTTATCGAATCTTTCACTTTCCGTCCGTACCTTATCGAATCTTTCACTTTCCGTCCGTACCTTATCGAATCTTTCACTTTCCGTCCGTACCTTATCGAATCTTTCATTTTCCGTCCGTACCTTATCGAATCTTTCACTTTCCGTCCGTACCTTATCGAATCTTTCACTTTCCGTCCGTACCTTATCAAATCTTTCACTTTCCGTCCGTACCTTATCGAATCTTTCACTTTCCGTCCGTACCTTATCAAATCTTTCACTTTCCGTCCGTACCTTATCGAATCTTTCACTTTCCGTCCGTACCTTATCGAATCTTTCACTTTCCGTCCGTACCTTATCGAATCTTTCACTTTCCGTCCGTACCTTATCGAATCTTTCACTTTCCGTCCGTACCTTATCGAATCTTTCACTTTCCGTCCGTACCTTATCGAATCTTTCATTTTCCGTCCGTACCTTATCGAATCTTTCACTTTCCGTCCGTACCTTATCGAATCTTTCATTTTCCGTCCGTACCTTATCAAATCTTTCACTTTCCGTCCGTACCTTATCGAATCTTTCACTTTCCGTCCGTACCTTATCAAATCTTTCACTTTCCGTCCGTACCTTATCGAATCTTTCACTTTCCGTCCGTACCTTATCGAATCTTTCACTTTCCGTCCGTACCTTATCGAATCTTTCACTTTCCGTCCGTACCTTATCGAATCTTTCACTTTCCGTCCGTACCTTATCGAATCTTTCACTTTCCGTCCGTACCTTATCGAATCTTTCATTTTCTGTCCATACCTTATCGAATCTTTCACTTTCCGTCCGTACCTTATCAAATCTTTCACTTTCCGTCCGTACCTTATCGAATCTTTCACTTTCCGTCCGTACCTTATCGAATCTTTCACTTTCCGTCCGTACCTTATCGAATCTTTCACTTTCCGTCCGTACCTTATCAAATCTTTCACTTTCCGTCCGTACCTTATCGAATCTTTCACTTTCCGTCCGTACCTTATCGAATCTTTCACTTTCCGTCCGTACCTTATCAAATCTTTCACTTTCCGTCCGTACCTTATCGAATCTTTCACTTTCCGTCCGTACCTTATCGAATCTTTCACTTTCCGTCCGTACCTTATCGAATCTTTCACTTTCCGTCCGTACCTTATCGAATCTTTCACTTTCCGTCCGTACCTTATCGAATCTTTCACTTTCCGTCCGTACCTTATCGAATCTTTCATTTTCTGTCCATACCTTATCGAATCTTTCACTTTCCGTCCGTACTTTATTGGTTATTAGAAATAATAATGAATTAATGAAAGAATTCAAGAATCAAAAAACAAATAGTGAAAATTCTATTTCTCAATTTCAAAAAATAATTTCTATTTATCAATTTCATCTTCATCAAATGATATAATATAAACATTACATTTTAGAAATGCTAAAGCAATATTTTTTGTTAGTATATTTTTTATATTAATTAATAAAATAATAATCTTGAAATTATCAATAAATATACACACACACACACACATACATACATACACACATACATAACACATACATACATACATACATACATGCACGCATACATACATACATACTAATTAAAAAAAGTAATTAAAATAGTCAATGAGAAAAATTTCGCAAAAATGAATAAATCCTAATTAGAAGCAATCCAATCAAATGTAAATTACTTATTTCAATTTAGCAGTATAAATGTCATTGTCAGCAAATAATGAAATAATAATTTACTTCAAAGTAGTTATAATTAATTAATGCAATCATATCTTTCAGTTACATTTCTATGATTAAATTCTTCAATTTTCTTTCTTTTTTCATCCAAACTTTGCAAACTAATCATTTTCCTTTTTTAAATTTTGTCATTATTTTCAAATTAATAAAATCAATTAAATTAAATCTCATATGATATTTTCTTACCAAGAGAGAGAGAGAGAGAGAGAGAGAGAGAGGGAGAGAAAGAAAGAGATAAAAAATGGTACTAAAGTTAAATAATTAAGAAATAAATTGCATTAAAGTATATGAAAAAAAAGGAGCAAAAAAAAGCAAAATATTAAAAGCGAACGGAAAAAAAGAAATTATTAAGCCAATTAATTTACTCGATGAATAATTATTTAATTAATATATTTCTTATTGTTTAAAAAATTTTTTTCAAAATATTTGTTTAAAAAAAAAATTTTCGAATTGTAAAATTAGCAATTTTTTTTGGTTTTTTCGGAATAAAAAACTTTTGGCAATTTTTTTTTTTTTAATAATTTAGAACATAACTTTTGAATTAATAAAAGAAATGCATTTATTTGCCTAATAATAAATACATCTTTTCCTTTTTTTTTAAAAAAATAATATTATAATTTAAAAATCAACCAATCATACATTAATTTATTTTGCATATTATTTTTTTAATTACAATAATTTATTGAAATTCTTTTTCATTAAAATGAAAACGAAAGTTTCTTAAATTTACTAAATGAACGAAAAAAACGAAAGCTTTATTTTAAATATGAATTTATTAAATGATAATTAATTTCACCTTCATCATTTTTATTTGTTAATTTGAAAAAAAGGAAAGAAAAAATGTAAAATTGACAAAAATGATAAAAGCAAAAATTAATTAATTAATTTAAAAAATTTTCCTTTATTTTTCTTTTTTTTAAATATTATTATCAATAAAAACATTTTAATGAAATAATTGACAAATTATTCATTTCAAAAAAATTTTTTAACCTGTCTTTCATAAGTTCATATAAATTTTCTTGCATATATTCGAAAACAAAATATAAATTGTCGTTTTCACGTATCACTTCACGTAATTTGATAATATTTGGATGATTCATCTTTTTCAATGATTTCACTTCACGTAATGCCATTGCTTCATTCCATGAATAAAATTTTCTTTTCATTCTGAAAAATTTTCCAATTGATTTACCTTTTTTTCTCTTTTGGTTTTTTTTCTTTTCAAAATTTAAATTTAATTTTTAAAAAGATTAGCAAATAAACCAAATGCAATTATTTGATAGCAAAATATATGAATATTTTTTTTGAAAACTTGAAAAAAAAGAACAAGAACAATGATAACAGAATAAGATTAAAACACATAAATAATTAAATAAATAAAATAGTTTATTCTTACTAGAAAATTTTCTTTTTTCCATTTCCAAATTTGAATTTATTTTTCTTTTAAAAAAAAGAAATAAAACAAATTTTAAATTGCATTAAGTTAGAAGAAATACCTTTTAACAGCTACTTTATCACCAGTATCAAGCTTTTTAGCAAGTAATACTTCACCAAATGTTCCATCACCAAGTCGTTTTGTCATCAAATATCGATCAGCTAATGTTTGACCTGTTGAAGTAGCCATATGTTTGGTATACATAAATCAAATAACTGATATCCTTTTATCACCTAAGAAATGAAAGAAATCATTTATAAAATTATTTAATCAATAATACGATTGAACTATATTTTCTATTCTTTTCTTTTTGTTTTTGTTTGTTTGTTTGTTTGTTTTTTTTTTTAACATTTCCTCATTTCTCATTAATTTTTTATTTAACTCACAAAATTATTTGTGCACTATAATTTAAGCAAAGATAAATATCAATTGAGTAAAGATTAAAACGATACAATTTGGCAAAAACAAAAAACATTAATTAAAAGAAAAAAAAAATCGTAATTGTAAGTTTATCGAAATCATTTAATAATCGCTTTTTGATAAGTTATCATTTCATTTTCAATTTATTTACTTTCTTTTTTTTTAAAAAAAAAATGCTATCCCAACCACCTGGCATTTTTAACTTTTCGCGTGTTAAATTAAGGTCAAATCACAAATGTAAATATTGAATTTAAAAAAAAAACACAAAGAATCTAAAATAAATGTTTTAGTATTGTAAAAAAAAAAAGAAAAATGAATGGTTACTTTAGAGTATTTGAAGACTTATTTAATTTTCTCAATCATCCAAATATGTTACCATGCCTGAAATATTTAAAATAAGCATATCTTACATACATACATACATACATACATACGAACACATACACATACACACACACACACATACACACACACACACACACATACACACACACACACACACACACATTTACATATACAGAATACGCATGCATACGAATAAATTTATTGGTGTCACCATGACGACGTGAAATACTTGATATGATTGTCATCATTTCCATTATGAATGTATATTATTTGTCAAATAGTGAAAACCGATACGAAATGCTATCATTAAATTTCACAAATACACATGCACACACACACATACACGGATACACACACACACATACACGGATACACACACGTATGTATGTGTGTGTGTGTGGTATACGTGAACTAACACTCATAAAAAAATATTTCATTTGTATAATTATTCTTTTATTATTACTATTATTATTATTATTATTATCTAATTATCTAATGACTTATTATTTGTTAAATAATTTATCTATAGTTTCTCATCATTTTATATTCATTTCTCTAAAATTTATTCGTACATCATATACTTTTGAATCTATCTGTAAAGTGCAATTTTCATTTATTTATTCACTTACTTATTTGTTTATTACTCATTGTTTATTATTATTTATTTATTTTATCTATCAATGTAGCATTTGTTTATATAATTGTTTAGTTAATTGTTATTTCTTCATATTATATCATCCAGAAAGATGAAAATATGAAAATATGAAAAAAAAGCTTTTCTTTTTTTATCAAAATTGTTCACAATTTAAAATTTAATTATATTCATTTGTTAACAAAAAAAAAAAAAACTGATAAACCAATAATGCTACTATAATTGTGAATAAATCTTTCCACATTATTATTATTGAGATTTTATTTTAAATAAATAATATAAAATAATTTTTCATTTTTTTTTTTAAAGGAAAACAAAACTGAATATATATTTATTAATAAGATATTTAATTAAAAAAATTTTAGAAGTAATTAATTTTACAATCAAACAACAACAAATTAAAAAGGCAAAAAAAATTACTTAATTGATTAGCTAAATATAATACTATTATTATAATTGTGTCAATAAATTCTTATGCAAATTTACTTTTCTTTTTAAGTTATGAAAATAAAAAAATTGGTGAAAAGAAGAGGAAATCATTGTTTATATTAGATTTTCGTGTGCGTAGTTTGACGTACGCTATACACCGTAATATGTCAAATAGAAATAACCCGAAAGTAATGCAGGAGAAGAAAAAGTTAAGTAAAAGGTATATATTCCGAAAGTAAGAAAAAAATTTATAATTCCAAAATACTAATAAATTGTTTTTAATAATTTAGATATTTGTTTTTTTCAAAAAAAATCAAAATTTAAATTAATTGAGATGCATTAATTAGCTGGACAAATACGGAATCATACATTACCTTAAATAATTTAAGCAGTAATTAAGTTTTAACTTTACATGAATTTTTTGTATTAATTTTTGTTTTGTCGGTAAATAAGTAAATGAATGACCACGAGTAAATAATTCAACAAGTATAAATACAATAAGTTGGAAAATTTATGATTATAATATTTCAAAGTTAAATTTAAATTAATTGAAATGCATCAATTATTCTAACATAATAGCATAATAATATCAAATCTTTTAAACTTTATTGGTTGATGATTTCTTTTACATAAATTGAAAGTCGAAAAAAAGAGATTGAAATTATAAAATATAAGACAGCAGTATAACTAAATGAATAAATATCAGTAAATAAGTAAACAATTAATATATTAATTAATTAATTAAGAATGAATATTTCTAGAAGATCAGCAGGTGTATTACATTCATCTAAAAAAAAAACGAAAAGTAGACTGTTATCTTCACTTCCAGCGCAAATGTCACGGCGACATTCAAGCAAAAAACGATCAATTACAGAAAGTCCGTAGAAAAATTTTAAATTTTAATTTTAATCATAATTTTTGCAAATTATAAAAAAAAAGGTAAAGAAGGAAAATATTTGTTATTTTTAACAAATGCCAAATTGGAAATATAAAATGTTGAAAATCAGTAAAAATCGAGAAATGATGAAAAAGTATTGAAATACTCATTTTGATTGATATTTAAAATAAAATTTGTAATTAAGGCTTTGCTTAATTTTTTTTTCTTTATTATTTAGTCATAATTAAACTTTCATTTATATGTTTGACAGTTTTCTCCTGCATTTCATTTGCATTAAAAAAGATTTGCGATTGAAATTTTTGATAATTTTTGATAATGGCTTATTAATTTTTTAAAATTTAATGCACAGCAACAGTTAGCATCGAATATATAGTCATAGTACACTGATAATTTCAAAGTTCAAAGTTTCAAATGTAAATTATCACTTGTTTTAAATTTTAAAATTGGTGATAAATTTGAAAAAGACTTTAGAATCTTCATTTGGACATCCTCATCGTTCGAGCAGCACTTATCACGATTATCGTAATCATCGTACTCAGAATGTTATCACAAAAGATCGTACTTCTACATTATCATCGAAACATTCTACCACCAATACACTTATCAGTGATACCACAAATTTTAATTCATCTCAATTAACATTATCACTAAAGAATGATAATAAGAGTGAATCAGAAGATGATGATAAATTGACCAAAGATGAAAAGAAGGAAAAAATACAAAAAGCGGTGATAATATTAGAAAAAAAACTTTAATTTTATTCATAATTATGTAAAAATTAAATTAGAAATTCAATTGAAGAAAAAAGTTGAAGCAAAATTTGCCAAATGTTTTTGCATTTTTATTTCAAAATATTTTAATAATTAAATATTAGATAATTAAAATGGAATTACAAATTAGAAACAATAATTGAATGGAATATCATTTAAATGTTTATATTTTTTTTTCCTTTTTTTTGCAATGATATTTTTTAAATTATTTTAATTTAAATTATTTTTTTCTAGAACTTTTCATTGCATTGATAGATTTGCTGAAGAATAAAGTGAATTTTAAATTTTAATTTTGCTAATTTATTTAAGTTATGAATTTTAATTTCAATTTTATATATTTTTTTCTCTTTTTTTCTTAGATACTCTCATGGATACGTAATGTATTAGCTAAAGGAATTGATGGAATAAAGGAAGATTTTGAACGATTAAATCGAACACCAAGAATGGAAATTCTTTATGGATCACCTGAAGATGAAAGAAATCGTTATCGAGTATGTAAATAATTCAAATTTATCTTTTATATTATTTTACTTATTTTTTTTTCCTTTTAAATATCATTTCGATTTAAAAAAGCCAAAAACAAAAATTCAAATTAATAAATTTACGAATTTTTTACACTTTGAAAGTGTAAAGTCATTGAGGAAGAGGAAAATGAAGAAAAAAGTGACTTTTGATTGAATAAATAAATGGAATAATTTGAATAATTTAATTAATTGAAAAAAAAAAATCTTTGTTAGACTATAAAACTTAATTATTTCTTATAGCATTCTTTTTTCCATAAAAAAATAAAAAAACAGAAACAGAAAAAAGAATAAAATTTTTAATTCGATTAATATTTGAATTATTTTATCTAAGTATATCAAAATCAAAATTTAATTATTCAAAAAAATTAAATCAGTATTGAAGTATGTTAAATTTAAAATAAATATTTTTTGCCATTACATTTTTTTTTATATTACTAATTAAAATGGATAAATTGAATCTTTCATTTTTTGAAAAAAATTTTTAATCTAATTAGCGCTTAAATTATTTCATTCGATTAGTGTTTGAAGTGTTTTATTTAAGTAAGTTAAAATTAAAATTTACTTGTTGAAGTATGTTAAATTCAAAATAAATATTTCATCTTATTAAATTTAGTATTATTAATTAAAATGAATAAATTGAATCTTTTTTTTTTTGAAAAAAATTTTTAATTCAATTAGTATTTAAATAAATTAAAATTAAATAAACTTTTTTTTTAAAACAGGATATTAGATGTATTGAAAAAACACGTGTTATTCTTGAAAATGTTGACGTACAAGCAAATTACATTCATGCAAATTTCATTTATTCTGGAAAGCGTAAAAAACGTTTCATTTGCACGCAAGTAAAATGCAATTAATTAATTTTATATTAATAATCAAAAAAATAATTCAATAATTTTTAATTAAATGTTAAATAGATTAATTTTAATGATTTAATTTATTTAAAAAAAAAAAAAAAACTACAAGAAAGGTTGCTGCAATTAATTGAATAATTTTTTTAAATTAATAGTAAATAAATTTTAAATTAGTAACAAATGCCTTTAATATTAATATAATTATGCTTTTTTTTTATTAATACCTTTTTTTTAATAAGCAATAATTTTTTTTTTTTTGAAATTAATTTTATAATATATTTAATAAAGAAATTCTAAATTTTTATTATTTAT